ACTTGTGTCTAGCCCTAGCAGGCAACTTTTAAGCCCGACCAATCACGTTAGAGTTTTTGACAAACACAAATGAATTAACACACTTCAAATAACCACGCTAACCAACCTAATTGGTCAAGCTTAAAAGTTGACTGCTAGGGCTAGACACTTCTGTGTGGGACCGACTTAAGAAAATATATTTTCTTAACCCTTGGTTTTGAACGATTTTTCATTATGTTTAAAACACTATCTATATGTCTAGTACTACACTCCTAATTTCAAAGAGGGTTATATTTTTATATTCTACATATTTAGTTAGTTAATAACAAGTAGTCTCATAAAAATCCAATTTTTCCACCAATTTTTATGAATATGTATATGTATGGAAAAAAGTTAAAGAATTATCCATTTTTGGACTATTTTAAAGCAAATCTTTAATATTTGTAATTTTCTTGGCTCCCTAGCATGTAATAATCCTTTATTGTTATATTAATTACAAAGTATTTTTTATCAAGCGAAGCAATTATTGCAATCTAAAAGTAGCTGGCCGGTATCGTATTTCTGCCTATCGATACAAAATGAAAAGAGCAGAGTTTACAGTTAAAAATGTGCCAAGTCGTATCGAACATTAATTTTCCACTAGCTTGCCATAATAGTTCGTCGCAGAAGATGTTCTTTGCTTAGCAAAAAACTCCGAGGCACAACAAAGGAGCTTTCGAAAATCTAAAATTAAAACAAGTCTTGCCCGCTACGCCGACGATAGTTTTTCTTTCTCTCTCCTTTAATTTAAATAAAGCTCCATTCATCTAATATAATCGATTTCACGTTTATCTATGATAGTTTACAGTAAAAATTCAAGATGTACCCTGAAAAACCTGTACAGTTATTTAATTTATTACACTGGACAACAACAAAACGTTATTTATGGGTCAGCCATTGTTGAATATTGAAATATATTGAATTTAATAATAACGTAAAAATTTTTACGAAAAAAAATTTTAAAATCAATAACTTGATAATTTTTGGATATTTTAGCAAACATAGTGGTAAAATTATGAAAATTTCAATATCTGTATATTGATGTTGATAATGTACAAAATTTAATAAAGGAAATAAAACAATATGTAGTTTGTAGTTAATGCCAACAAAATAACTCGATAAATTATAGTTTTGATGGTATTTATTATATTTAATTCGCGTTAATAACTGTATATAATTGTGGAAACAGAAGGAGCTTAGAAAGAATCGTATAAATATTTTGCTCTAATTAGTTTTTACTGTATAATGGTAGGACGTTTAAAGAGATTTACGCCAGCAATAACATTGCCATACTTGCCTATTTGTTATCTCGAAAATAAGAAGATATAAATTCTATTTGTTATCTAGATGAAATTTCCGGCATAATATCATTCACTGTACTTAAAAAGTCTAGTTAAATAATGTAAGAATAACTGTGGGATTATTTTTATCAACTATAGTTGCAGTAGCTCTCTCGTAGAAAAGAAATCAAATGACATTTATAAAAATAATTACTTCCTAATAACGGTATGGTTAACAACAGCTTTTTTGTATTACGTAGTACCAATTCAATTATTATACTACTGGAATTTGCTATAAAAATAAAAAAACTGTTGAAACATTTTGAATTAAAAGTACCTACTAGTTCTTGATTCTAATATCGAAAATACCTGTATAGTATCCTTGTATATATATAAACAAGGATAGTATCTGTTGTCAAAGAGAATAAGATATTAAGTCATAAAACTGTAAAAGCTCAATTCATTCAAATTCTAACCCGAGCTTTCTGCGCGCTCATGGTTTTACTACTAGAATTATCAATTCCTTTTGAACCCCAATGCAGTTGATGATAAAGGAATTTTAAAGAAAACAATTCCGTGCTCGATAGCTTATTCTCTCTGACGACTGATCACCAAAAGCAAATAGCAAAGCTTCAAAAAGATTTTAAAAATGTCTTTATCACAACGATGCTATTTGCTAAAACAATTAAGCTATAGTACGATTAAAACACATTAGTCACAATTACTATGGCCTTTGACATTCAGCGCTCATCCATTGAATAATATATTTCGTCACTCATAAAGTGAGTAAGTTGTTAATTAATTACAACGTATTTTTATTCTTAAAAAAATGCTGTTACGTTATTTTAATACACTTGCTCATTGCTGTAGGTGTAGCGCGTAAACAAAGGATGTATGAAAACAATATTTACTTGTGCGTGTTTAAATACCACATTTTTTAATCAAAGATGCAGTTTTTAAGCGTTGTTTACAACAAATAATAATAATACGCTAATTGTATTTATGTTATTATAATAGCGAAATAAGCAAAAATAAATTTTCTAATGCGCTAAAAAACAGACCAAACCACATTATTTAAATTACTATAATATACTGCACTAGCTCAGCTACCCTAATAATAATAAGTATTTTAAATATGTAGAGAATTTATAAAAGGTCGAAACCATTAAAACTAAACTGAAAAATGTTATTATACCTTATCGTTAGTATTAAATTACGGATATAAATATTTTTTTTATAAAGATTAGGTGTTTAAATGTTTTAAAAACCTAACGGTAATTTTTTCGTATTTTTTTTAAATATTTATAATTCCTTAAATATAGTTACTGAACTTTACTTACCTAAAAATCATTTTTGAGACGGGATATCTTCGTAGACGCACGAGAATCATTTCCAAACAGTGGGATATTTTGATTTGTTCTTGTTTGTTTTGCGCCAAAAAGTTGGAAAAAGCACTCGAAAAGTTTATGGAAATGCGCGTTATTGTCTGTATTGTCTATTTTAATATTGAATTAATTAATTCCGAGTCCTTTTAATTCATATTTTGGTTAAAAACACTGAAATATACGATGCGATACTACTTCGTCACCAAACACGCTTAATACCACACGACTATATGAGCGTGGTCTCCACTGGTATCCTCTCTTACTGTTAAGTCTTCTTTCAGGAGATCGGGTACTTTCGTTCAAGTCCGGTACTTTCAAATAGTAGTGCGGTACAAGAGGTAAAATAAAGCTCCACAACATAATACATTCATGACATAAGATATATTTCTTGTTTTCTGCCCCCTACCTGGTTTTATACCTGTCGCCTCACAAATTCAATATGAAAGAGGCATTAAGCTGCACAAGGAAACCTAATTTACTACAAGAATATCCCTAAACCCACGGTCACGATGTGACGCGTAAAAAATATATTGTTTTTTTTTAATATATTTAATTTAAACCCTTTATCGTATTTTTCAACATTTTATAAAAGTTGAATAGTACATTATACCGCTGACATCTAGTTACTTCTCAATATAATAAAAAAACTATTGACAAAACAAAGTAAAAGAAATAATTACTGCAAAATGCATTACAAAATTTCAAATATTTAAATTTTAGAAATAGGCGCTAAAATGCTGCCCCTCTATCTCAGGCAACCAGGAATGCAAATATTACCCTTTTTTAGTGCCATCTATCAGCTCATTTCAATATTATCAGAATTTTTATCAATACAAGGTCAATACACAAAAACAAATGGATAAAGAAATCTGCAATTTTTTATTGGAAAATTGCTAAATTTTTATTACAATTTTCTTATTTTTAGCTTCCAAAATAATTATAATTTAATTATAATAATTCTGTATTTGTATTATTACTAATATTTTTCTCATAGTAAGCCATGATAATATATTACTGGTTGCATAAAAATCTTTTGTTATTATCTCTTCTTTGTATTAAATATAAAATTATTTTAAATTATTTAATTAGCCGATTAAGGGTGGCTCACGGATGTATATATAAAAATATACATCCGTGGGGTGGCTGCAAGGATATATAGAAGAAGGATATTCAACTCCCTATAGCGGGCTATGTTGGAAAATATGCCGTATTTTGTCGAGGAAGACGATTTCGTCACGACCAATGAGCGTCGAGTATTTGAAATTGAAAACATATAAATTGACGGTAACCTATGTTTTTCGACTCATTTCACTGACAGATGTGATGAGGTGATGAGACTATTATCACTTTATTATTGTATTTTATAGATCCAAACGTTTTTTGAAAAAATAATGTATTTTAAAGTGATTTCCTAGAGTTTGGTTTGGCCTTCTATATTCTGGTATTTGTCTACTAATAAATAATATCTTATTTTGTATTTCGATGTATGGAAATCCGCAAGTTTTGTATCTGAAGCCGCAAAGAAATTTCGCTCCATAGTGAGAAAAATGTTATTATATCTTTTTAGACGTGTAGAATTACAAAATTTCTTATTTCAGATGTTCTAAATGTGAGTGCATGTCACAAATTTAAATATATACTTGAAATATTATTTCAAGTTATATGCTTTGACATTTTTTGGAAGTAAACAAATATTGAAGAAAGTGTTGTGCCTTTACAGAATTTAAATTGGCATTAGGAGTAGATTTCCTTGATTTAGTAATGATATTGCTCATAGAAATTGATAATGTGAAGAATAACAATACAGGAACATAGAATAACAAGAAAGAAACTCTAGCAGCAAGTTAGGTTATGAGATAAATTTTATTTATATAGTTTGTTTAAAGAGTTTAGTTTGAAAAAAAGGTAAAACAGTTATTATTGTCCAGGTCATATTTGATAACTGTTGTTAATTGATAACATATTACAGGGACACAGTAAAAAGACAAAACATTTAGACCCTTTGAAAGAGAAATGTTTGCAATGGATATTAATAAATTCTAGCCAATTTGTACGATGTACAATGTAGGCAATATTTCTGCCTCCTAACGCACTATTCGCGTAAAAGAAGATGTGGGTATTGTATTTATAGGTAGTTAATGATACATGGAATATATTTCTATATTATTGCAATAACGATGTCTTTATGTTGTATTTTTTTATTAGTTGGCTAGTGTGTTAGTAGGATAGCCATTGGTAGTTATAAAGTATGAAGTCGTCAGGTATTAATAATAGGAATTGATCAAAGCTTATACATTTATTGTGATATTTATATTGTGAATTTAAGTAGTTAGTTTTGGTTGTTTAATAAACGAATTAATGTGCTTATTGTGTATCTAATTAAAAGAACAATGAAAAGTTGAATACCATAGGGGTACGTATGTTATACAAAGAATTTGCATCAACTATTATATTTTTTTGTTATATACTTGTACTGATATTTGTTTCTTGAACTAAAGAATTATACAGTACCTACTACACAATATATAATCTGCAGCTACATAGGTAGGTAGCTATTGGTAATTAAATTTTTTATCTAATATAATATCTAACATCAGAAATATTGTTAATTATCAACTATAAACAACTAAGAACTAGAATTATCAACTATAAACACAATATAATATACTGTATCTTAAGCAATAGGTAATTATTTAACAATTTTTTTGGGAAATAAAAACTGGTACTAAATTCTTTTTGACTATTTAATTTCTAAGTCACAAATAATGGTGGACAAATAGCAAGAAAATTATACAAGTAAAACATAATTTTAACTTATTTCTCTAATGGGATTTTGGTATTGATCTACTTAGTAGGATATGCAGTTATCAATCATATTTTTGAATATTTATATTCAATATTGTTCAGGAACAGCCCAATTACTCTGAAAAAAAAATATATGGTCAAATTCTTTGAAAAGAAACTTTTAAAATCAGTAATGATAAATATATAATTGTTGTATAGCAGAACCAGGGGACACAGAATTAAGGGAATTAACAATAGATTATTAAAAACTGCCTTCTCTTAAAAAAGTAGTATTATATGCACTTAGAAAGACTATAAAGGATATAAGTACACATAGAAAGAAAGTAAGTATCTATACTACTGATATATATATATATATATATATATATATATATATATATATATATATATATATATATATATATATATATATATATATATATATATATATATATATATATATATATATATATATATATATATATATATATATATATATATATATATATATATATATATATATATATATATATAACTATATATGAATACGATACCTACAGTATACAATATTACTAGTATAAAAATAACAGCACAGTCGGCACACTTTAAAATAAAAAAGCAGCATAATATTCAGGTATGTATCTAAGTAAAATTTTCTCAAAAATATTAGAATATGAAATAAATTGCAACTAAATTTTAATTAATAAACATAAACAAATAAAATTGTCAGTGTTATTAAAACTTTATGCAAATATATGTTACCTTAATACTTTGTCTTTAATCCTACTCTTCTGACACGGCTTTTCAAACTAATATTTATGGACTTTTGTTTCCATATTAATTTCAATATATTTGAATAAAACTGGAAAAATAATCAATATTGGCACTTGAAATTTTAATTTCCGATGTCCTTAAATTATTTATATCGTGTTATACATAATACTTACATAAATATTCAATTTAAAAATAGATCAGCACTTGAACGAGTGAATATAAAATAGTATATTATCAATTTCTATGAGCAATACCATTACTAAATCAAGGAAATCTATTCCTAATGCTAATTTAAATTCTGTGAAGGCACAACACTTTCTTCAATATTTGTTTTACTTCAAAGGGGCAAAAGGGTATAACTTGAAATATTTCAAGTATATATTTTTTAATTTTTGACATTAAGCACTCACATTTAGAACATCTAAAATAAGAAATTTTGTTATTCTACGCGTCTAAAAAGATATAACATTTTTCTCACTATAGAGCGAAATTTCTTTGCGGCTTCAGATACAAAACTTGCGGATTTCCATACATCGAAATACAAAATAAGATATTATTTATTAGTAGACAAATACCAGAATATAGAAGGCCAAACCAAACCTCTAGGAAATAACTTTAAAATAAATTATTTATTCAAAAACGTTTGGATTTTGGATCTATAAATTACAATAACAATCTCATCACATTTGTCAGTGAAATGAGTCAAAAAACATAGGTTACCGTCAATTTATATGTTTTCAATTTCAAATACTCGACGCCCATTGGTCGTGACGAAATCGTCTTCCTCGACAAAATACGGCACGTTTTTTTTGGGCCAGTCGAATATCCTTATTCTATATATCCTTGGGTGGCTGCAACCGTAATCCTGCTGTTAAAACATAATAATTGTTTTTTATATATATTGTTATGTATTAACAGCAGGATTACAGGACGTCGTTGAAGCCTCAGGTTGCAGCCACCGCAAGGAGCCACCCTAATATAAATATTAAGTCATAATTTGGTTTAGAAATAAGTTAAAATTATTGTATAAAATTTTAAAACTCTAGCAAAATCCTAAGCATTTTTTCTATAGGTGGCGTTGTGGGGAGATGCGATCTCCATTTGTTTTCCGGTAGGTCGTCATATTGTGGCGTCTCTTCAAATGGACGCTACACTGAATGTTAATTATATTTAAGATTTAATTGTTAAGAAGTGATAAAATACTGAAAATTCGTTATAAAAGCAAAGACTAAGTGTTTATCTACATTTTGCAATATGCAGAGTCACGAGTATCGCTATATTCGCGGCCAGGTTCCGAATCCTGAATAATTATGTTGCCTTCCAATTAAGTTGGATTTTTCAAAAATTTATTACGATTTTTGGATCATCTTGAATTTGGATGAATCCACCATGATCTAAGAATATAAACCGTGAGCTAAAGAATATAAACCGTATTCCTGTGCAGGACTTATATCCAAGACATACTACTTGTACTTGCAGCCGATATACTAAATGATCGAAAAAAGATTACGTCCAGTTGGCTTGAAAATGACGATTGATGATATTTACTATATTGGAAATATAAAATGACAACGACTTTAATTTCCAAACTATCTCTGATTCCGCCGTTTTTTCGAACGCATGGTGTATTATATACAGGTCCATTCAAGTACACAGCGGTAGTTCAGTTAAAGATAATTTCTAAAATCAGTATGAGTTGGTTTAAATCGATCACTGTGTCACAATATCCATAATCGAATAAGATTTATAAAGAATCTTCTCATTTTTAAAGTAGTTAAGATACATATATATATAAATATATATATATATATATATATATATATATATATATATATACATATATATTTTAACAGGTGTAGGTATGTGATACTTTTGAAAAATGAGCAGTTAAAGGTAAGTGCTAGAATAACTACAAATTGATTTGAAATTAAAAATGCATTATTATTCCTGTTATTCTTACAAATCTACAATATATAAAATGCTAATGTTTATCTCTGTCGTCTCTACTGAAGTAACGACTTGCACTAGAAAGTTGTTTTTTTTTTCTAAAAGATAATTGGCTCTTCTAAAAACTGTCGTCGGCTGATTTTTTGTTTTTTCCATTTAATTAAAAAAATAAAATAAAGTTTTTTTTTCTGTCGTCGTGGCGGATGCGCCAGGCTTCAACTAGTACATGAATAAATCTTTAAAGCATAAGAATTACTGTAATAATTAATCATGACCATGATATATTAAGTTAATTACCATGATATATTAAGTTACAAGGATCTAAATAAAAATAAAACGACTTATAAAGACAATAACATTTTATTGAACTTAAAAGATGTACAGAGGAATGCATTATAATGAAACACAAAACAATAAATCTAATTAGAATAAATACCACAATAAGTGAATATTATATATTATAATTTATTTCCGGATGTAGTCAGAAGTTTGCTGATATATTTAAAAATTACACAATATAACCACTGTACTAAAAGATATATTGAACTAACTAAAAATCATACAGACTATAAACGCATATAATATAAAAAAACGAAACAATTAAACCTTTGCAAATATTTTCTCTTTGTTAATTTGTCCATTTTTATTTAGGTGGTTATAGGTATTATATAAATATGGAATAAATTTTAGAAAATAGTGGTAGAAGTAATAGCTTTGAAATATTAAAAGTTATTAAAATTCAATTATTTTTTAATGGAAAATAGATTAATCTTTAAACCTACTATTTTTTTCTTTCAAATTTTGAGAACTGAATATATATGTACAAAGAAAATTTTTTTCAATGTTAATATACAAATTTTGAATATCTAAAAACACTCCAAAATATATCAAAGATAGTTATTGCGATATGTAGTTTATATAAACTACATTTTACATTTATATTTACAAGAGGGTATTCGCGTGCACTTGGATCTCTCTTTCTAAGGGCAAAATATGCAAGTATGTTTATTTCTTTATTGACATTTAAAAGCATGGCCCAACAATATCAGAAAACACCGATAAAAAATGTTAATATATTTTAATAGAGATCAATCACAGAATAATTTAGCTACACAGTCTTTTTGTATCGCTATTTATTCAATGATCACTTTTATATAGACAAATTTAGTGAATTTCGAATACTACATCTGCTATTTAGGCATCAAAAATATATATTTCGAACTTACAGTAGCCTACAAAATACCTATTAAATATTTATTACTAATACCACAATATATTTTCACTCACTCCTATAACTGAACTCTATGTAGTTACATATATAATATAAAGATAAAATGTTTGGCTTGACTTTTAGCAAATAAAAAAAAGCTGATGATAAAAAATAGTACATGAAACAGCACTACACCTGAAGCATTATTCTAACTCATTTCGACAGTCGAAATTCATGTAAAATAATGAGTAAATAACTACAACCAAAATCGCGGTTGAAATGTGTAGTTGTAAAATATTCTTACTAATACAACTATCGAAATAAATTTGAATACCTTCGCAGCAGTTATATTGAAATTAACAAAATAAATAAACAAAGCAAACCTCTTATTTATATTTTATATTTTTCTTGTTGACCTCTCCCATAATTTTGACCCAAATTGAATACTTAAAGAGTATTTTTAAGAATCTATAAATAAAATAAATCGATTTTAAATCTTTTAAAATAATTGATGTTCGTTGGACCAAAAAAAATATAAATATTATTTTAATAGCAAAAACACCAAGAAAAAAGAATTATTCTCTAAAAAAGTCAACGACAATCAGCTTAAAAAAAATTTCGATAGCGGAAACGAGTTGGAATAACGCACGAAAGATAATTAAAAAAGGAGACTAACATCCTTAACGCAATATAAAGTAATATTAAAAAGGTTAGCTCATAGACAACTGACCCAAAGCTAACAACTTCTCCACCGCAGCATTTATGTCTCCAAACGTTGATATTAAGGCCTGTAAATTTGCTTCTCGGTTCAAAAATCCCATGGCTGTCAATTGTTCCAGCTGTTGTTGATAGCGCTGTTCAGGGGGTAGTGATTGGTCTGTTCCAGCTGTCATACCTGCCACCATACGTGCCATAAACTAAAATAAAGAAATATATCTTCTTATAATTTTTTTTATGATATTAAATGGAATATTTACCTCAGAAAATGGATCACCACTACTCGCTGCACCACCAGTTCCAGAACCAGGAGTTGCACTAGTTACAGTTGGTGTATTTGTAGTTGGTGTACTCCCTTCAGTGGTACTACTCTGGGTAGTTGGTGTAGTGCCCGGTGTAGAAGGCATTTGTGGCGAAAACGTGTTTATTAAAGAAGGTGCCTGTTGCCTTAAAACATCCATTCCTGCAAACAAAGATTAGTATTTCCTACAAAAACACTAACAAATACATTTTATTTACCTTGTTGTATTTGTAAAATAGCATTCAATGCTTGTGGATTGGTCATCAATGATTGCATTTCTGGGTTTTGTAACTGCTGCAAAAATTGAGGCATCATGGTCCTCATCTGCTCTTGCAACTGTGGATATCTGGACAACAGAGGATTGTCGGCTAACAGTGCGTTTGCCATGTTGGGGTCAGCTGCCATTGCATCCATAACAGATCTAGTATAAGGAGCAGAAAGCATGTTTTGAATCATAGAAGGATTTTCTGATACTTGTTGCAATAAGCTCGACATAGGAGGATTATTAACAACGTTCCTTCCAGGTGTGGTGGGTGAGGGTTGTTGATTGGGAGATCCTCTGCTCCATGGATTTGGTAAAGGTTCTCTATTTTCTGTACCTAAGTTTCATTTAAATGATTATTAACCAAGTTGTTATATATGAAAATAAAAACTAACCTTGTTGTGGATTGTTAATTTGAGTATTATCCAACACTCCAGAGAATGGATTCTGAGAGAATTGTTCAGTTGCTGCTGATAACATCGGTTCTTGAATATCCCTGTACATTCTGTGTAGTGCATTGTAACCTCCTGGAATACTTTCCAGATTACTCATGGCTCTATCGTGACTTCTCATTAGTTCCTGCAACATTGAAGGGTTCCTAGCTAATTCCATAGTTTGCCTTAACAATTCAGGATTATTAAGCATGTGACTAATCTCCGGGTTCCTTTCCATCAAGTCTTGCATTTGAGGATTGCGAGTTATTAGTGCTCTCATATTTTCTGGATCATTCATTAACCTCTGAACTAAAGGATTGTCTAATAGTGACCTAAGTAAATCTGGATTTGAAAGCAGTTCACTTTGCATTCTGTTCTGAATTTCCATAAAATTAGCTGAACCTAAACCTAATGATTCTAAGCCGGCCAGACCTCCCAAACTGCCTAAATTAAAAGGTGTTGCACCAATATCAGCTGAAAATAGATATTGTATGTAAATTCATAAAAGCATCGCTCACATTTTTACAAACCTGGAGGACGTTGTGGGTTGTTATCGCTAGTACGAGGAGCAGCTCTTATAACCAGATGTATTGTAAGTCCATCTTTAATGCCATGAGATTGTATAGTATCTCCATCTTTAATTATTTTGCCAGCAAAAATCAAACACAACTGCTCTGGTTCGGCATTAAACTTTGGGGCTATGAATTCTTTAAACTATAATATAGAAAATACATACATTTCAATTATAATCTGTAATTCAAAGATGATAAACATTGATATGTTTATCTAGAAATTAATGTTATGACAACATTCTAGTGATTACAACAAGCAGTATGTAAATGTTCAACTTACATCTTTTACTTGAATATCCTCGTCAACCTCAACCGATTCCTTTTCCTTTGGTGTTTTCACGTGAATTATAATTTTTCTCTTGGGAGGAGCTTCTGCTCCATTTTCTATCTCTTGATTAGTTTGGGGTTCGGGATTGGGTTCTGTAGGCTGTTGTGTCTGGGGTTCTGGTTCAGGCTGGGCCTCTACTTTCAGTTCCCCATCGCTTTTTTGAGGTTCCTCCTCAACTACTTTCTCGGGCCCTGAGTCAACCGGGACATCATCCGCCATATTTACCTGCAATGACTAGTTATTTTAGTTTGAGCGCACTACTGCGCCCACAAAAGCAACTGGTAATTATAAACGATAGTTTCTCGACACCTCGAATATTCTAAACCCATATAACATGACACAACACAAAAATATATCAATAAAACTTACGAGAACACGTAGTTTTTAGAGGAAATCGTCACTCCGGATGTCTAATGTCAAATAAATATCAAGTTAGTGACAGCGTTGCCATAATTAATATTTTACCGAACATTTAAGATATTTTTAAATATTTTTTTTTATTTCATGTTAATTTGTTTACATATATATCAGTAGAATATAAATTCAAATATCATATTTTGTTAGTCACATAACGATTGTTATTTAATTCATGCAAATTAAATTAATTTATATTTTTTTACTTCTAAAGAAACTATAAATTATAACAATTGGCAATGCGGTATAAATTGAATGACAGTCGTGAAAAGAGCGCGTTCTGGAATATTTTCAATTAAATTTTTGCACAACATAATTTAATTTTACAAATATACATAAAAAAGTTTATGTTTTTAAAGTATATTGATCCATATCAACTGGGTACATATGGTTAAACTATAAATACAATACCTTATTGTAATACACTGATCTATGAAATTAGAAATAAAATTTGTAGGAAACTTACAAGATTTTAAATACGCGCTTTTAATTACAGTATCAAAATTAATTAAAAATAAGTTTAAACATATATTTTTTATGAATATTAAAAGTTTAGAATTAGAATAAAACGTATTAATAAGTTTTAAAACAAAAATTATTTTGTTATCCAGATCTCAATCGGGGTACAAAATGTGAAGCAAACTGGTGCGAAAAATCAATATAGATAGACTAAACTGCATATTATCGTCGTATTGAGTGGGACAAGCAACGCTATATTAATTTATATCTAATAGAAGCAACTGTAAAGGTGATAATGTCTAAATTGAGCTGCAAATAAAAGATAAGAGCTGACCTTCTTCTAGAAACAGTTTTCGATTCATAAACATGGTCGTGGTCCTTCGAGCCGGATGGTCAGTTTTAAAATTTTACAACCGTTCATTCGTGCCTCTTTCAAAATACAAGTTGAGGTCTCTCTGTTCTTCAAAGACAGAGAGAGTATTATATCTTTGCTTCTTGCTTCGCGGTGAAGAATTATAAAGTCCGGCATCACAGCGCACAATGCGCAAGGAGCGGTAAACCGCCGTTACAAAAATGTGGACGTGAATTCATTTTCAGTTAAGTAAGAGTAGGTGTATATACCTACGGGTTTATATGCGTCGTCTCTATATACTACATGTCTTTTTAAAGTTTTGTTATTAAACATCGATAAATAGTTACGTCCGAGTGACTGAAAGTTCAATGTGAATCAGTGTCTGACTTTCATGGTTAGTGAAAATATAATTTTAGTGCCCCAGCCACGTATCATATCACCTCAAGACAGATTCTTCTCTAGAACGAGCAAGATTACGGATAGTTTTTCAGATTCTTAGTCAAAGTACAGTTCTAGACTCATTGATAACAAGATAAAAGCGCAGTTTTGTTACCTTAAAAACTCATTTTTTTTCGAACTCTGTAATTAAGTTAATTATTGATGTATTATCTTCACTTTATTTTTTCCCATTCGTTCTAGAAGTAATTACAAATTACATCTTCTATTTCACCTTTAATCTCTCTGAACTTAGCATGATTTTTATCATTAATAATTATGAATTAAATTAAGTTTTACTCCTCTGTGGGAACATGGATTGTTTCAAAAATTGTTAAATTAAAATTAATTTGAAAAATTCTAGTTATTATACAGGGTGAGTCTTAAATAAGTGCATATATTTTCAGAACTGGTAGATTTCGATAAAAGAAACATATTTTCTCTTTACTGTTTTTCAAATAAGTCCAAAATAATCGAGTTATTTTAAAAATTTTAAAAATTATAAGAAATAAAAAATTAATGTACCTACTTTAAAAATTTGAAAAAAAATTTGCTTAAATTTTCAGAACCACTGGATCTTTTCTGGATTTTCTTTCTTGTAAATTTAATCTACTACCTATGTTGCCATATTATCAAGGAATTATTAACTAAAAATTAAAAAAAAATAGAAAAAATCTAAATTTAATTTTTTTTTTCGCGAAAAAATCTGATAAACGTTTTCTGGGATCAAAATATACTACCCCCAAAAATATTTGCACTTATTTAAGACTCACCCGTTATAATAAAAATATAAAAATTCAAATAAGTTTTCAGGCAGACATAATTTTTTATCTCAAATTTCCAAGATATAGTTGTACATGTTGTTTCAAGATAAAAACTTGACAAAAATTATTAAAAATTTTATAAAATCACAAAATAGACTATTATGAGTGGACTGTATCAAATTATTGATGCATTAAAAATGATTTTTAAAACTTTTATAATTCTATATTTTCGTCCATGAAGACTTGGATAAGAAATAGGTATCCAAAATTAATCAAATTATAAAATAAACTAAGTGTATATACAATTCCAATTTCAAATTTGGAGCCAATTAGTTGTGTACTGCCATAATTAAATAGAATGAAGTATTTATGTCATATGCTAATTTTAAGCGCATAAATTTTATTTAAATATCGCATTTTCAGTACCATTAACATTAATATCTTGATAAATCTCAAAATAAATACCTTTGCCTATTTTAGCTATAGACAATAATTTACAAGTAAAAAAATTGTCCCCCTTGTGGCTAAGAATATATTTGAACATTCAGTTTTGTTCGCTAAGGACTAATAGCCAAACTGAAATGGCTTATTTTGATTTATTTATGAAAAATAATGTTTAAACATAATCCACGCCTATGAGCTAATGGGAGGTGGTATTAAAAACCTTTTCCGATAATTTAAGTGTCTAAAAACCTGAGAGGGATACATGTGTAGGAATTCTACCTGTTCTTTCAGCCTCTGCCTATCTTGTAGGGCTTGTATCTATATTTTGTAAGGTCACCTGTAGAGCTTGAGTTCCTTGTGCCAAATTTTATGTAAAATTAGACGTCTTCATATTTATTCCTTTTTGTATTATTATAAACAGTCTGTTATGACCCTAGTACTAAAAAGTACAAGCGTCAGGTGTTTGAGTTTCAACCCCAATTAAGCGAAAAGGCAGGTGAAACTACATCCAAACGGAAATAAAATATCGTTAAAATAGACATTTGCCGGGTTTCTTTTTTAGATAAAACAGCTACCTGGCTCTCTTTTAAAACATTCTGTATTTTTGCTGACAATGAAATTCCATGTAGTGTATTTAATTTCAGTAATTTGTAGTTAATAAACGAACATAAATAAATATATGTCAGTGTCAGGGAATAGTACAATAAACACTTTACATAATTATTTAATTAAAATATTTCCCCAAGGGGTGATCGGCCTTAGTCCGCGTAATTTCCTTAATTAAAATTTAAATAAACACAGTGCATTGCTTATTCAAGATTTATTGCTGCGTTTTTTGAAAATAAAAACTGAAAAAGTTATATTCAAATTAATACAACATAATTTTATTGTTTACATTCACGTAGATTTTTTCTCAGGGTAGGTACTTTATTTAATTAATTCATACAGATTCACCTGTCTTCGTTTTAGTTTTACTTTGACTGATTAATGCAGCAGGTAATTAGCTAAATGAGTTTTTTTTGCTGAATTATTTTTACGCAAAATCAAAAGTTTAAAAAAAAATATTACGAACAATAGTTATTGTTTTCGTATGTTATTCCAGTCAATCTAAATAAATAATCTGACATTGATTGTAACAAAAGGATTTGCTTCATTTGACAATCCTACATTCAAATTGGAACATGGATTTTCTCAGACTGATTTAGGTAGGTGCTCATTTCATTCTATTCGCTAATGATGTATATAATAATAAAATAGGCCCCATAATTGCTGATTTCCGAGTTAGGTACCTATTTCTAAACAACTTGGGTTACGAAATTTGTGATTTTTTAATCATTTGTGTCGATATCTACTACTTCGATACTACTGTTCGAAATATGAGAATATCTGTATCTAATTAACTTACCAGTAAGTAAGTAAATAATGTATGGAGAATATAAATCTATGTCAAGATGTAGTTGTTTGAGATACTTAAAGCTAATTACTGTAACATCTTATTAAAGTTTTCTTTAAATGAATATTTTTAACTCAATTAACCTACTTTTGAAATTTCAGAAACAAACAAAACTTATAAAAAAAATCGTTTAATTCCTCACGCTCACTCTTTAGAAGAATCTGTTTCAAACATATTTATCTTTTTTTTCTGATATAAATTTATACTATTTACAGAATTGATATTTCCAATTCAACAGAAAATGTGTCTTAAAAATAATGATTTATTACCCCTTCGAAAGTATTATACGATTAAGTAAGCATGTCATCGAGTATAAAGCTTAAACTTCTAAATCCATACCATGACGATTAAAACCGAAGTGAAGAAGGAATGTGAAAATGAAGAAAGAACATGTGGAAAATACACATGAACTATCTTCGTCATACCTTTAACTCTACATCGCAATATTGTATCAAACAAATGAGAGACAAACGAAAAAAGCAAAATGCTGAAACATATTACAAACGGCGGTAAGTACATACACAATATTGTCTTTAGTAATAAAAAATATATTATTAATATAAAATACGAAGCTGGTAGTCCGCCTAAAATTTTGACGTTCAATGGAGCTTCTGATCTATTGAAATTTAGCCATAAAAACTGTACGTATTCGAATGGTGTTGGCCTTCAATAAGATTTAAAAATATCTTCTAATTTTATTCTCTAAAAATAATGTATTAGTTAATTTCCGCATTAACCATATACCTACATGAATCAACGTACATATTTGGTAAATGTATTCTCGAGATTCTAATTTAAATTACATATAACTATGTTTTTTCTGATTTTTTTTCAATTGAATTTTATACAGACTATCTAAAGGTACCCACACACATACAGTTTTTCCTCAAACAAAACTGCACAGCCAGGCCTTGACGGTTTATATTCGAAATGTAATCGTGGTGCGCATAAACTGGCAAAATAACTTACGACACTAACACAGCCTGCGCAGTTATTTACAGTAGTTTTAAGCTTGGACTGCGCAGTCCAAACTTTGAGGAAAAACTGAATGTTTATGGCTACTTTAATATACTCCTGTTTCAAATGAACTAATAGTAATAGCGAACTTGATCAGAACGCAACATTAATGCGTAATTCTCTTTTTGTAGGTGTCGCAAATCGAGGCACCCGTCCAGATAGTTCCATGATCATGGAACCAAGGGACCAGCAGTCCCACAGGTTCCGATCACCAAACGCCAATAGTTCCAGAATCTCCACGCAGCAGTATCCTCTGAACGTAACGCAGCTGCACAATGTCACCCCAAATTTGGACAACTCCAAGCACTCAATCTACAGCAACGCAGCTGTGCTGTCCACAGGCAACAAGGTCCTCAATGGAGGCTTGAACATATCGCGAATAAGGAACCAAAGCACTGTAAACAAATTCATAGCCAAATCGAAACAAGTGGGAGTGAAAGAGATGCTGGTCAGCCTGGGACTGCTATGCTTGGTCAGCTTGTTATTAGCGTTGTTGTCGCTGATTTTCTTACTGAAAATTTCCCCAGTCACTGCGAACGATATCAGGGAACTTTTGCGAGCTGAACAGCTCACAGTCATTACAGCAGAAGAGTATGTCGTGGTATATGAAGTGACTTTAGCCCTTTGTGCCTTAACTTTGTCGTTGAATCTTTGTTGTCTATTGGTGTGCGCTATACAGTTCTTGTTTGCAGTGAAACTTGTTAAGAGTCCACATGGAGGAAGCGATAGGTATGTTTCATTTTGTTTCAAATTTTAAACTTTTTTTATTATACTTAATAACATTATTATACAGGGTGGTCCGAACTGTATTCCGGAAACTTCGGGAGCATATTCTGCAGATAAAAAGAAGTAAAAAACTTCTTATAAATGTATATCCGAAAATGCTTAGTTTCGGAGATACAGAGTGTAGAAGTTTTATTTTTATTTCGATTTTTTCCAAATAATTTCTGAAGTAACGTCAATATTTGGATGAAAATTGGTGTCTGATTTTTTGACATGAGAAATTTGATTTTGATGTCATTGTGACTCCTATTTGTAGAGAGCGTCACCTACATGTGTTTTAACTGTTTTGAAGAGTAATAACTTTTTGTCCCTACCTGTACAGAACTGCTGAGTGAAAAAATATTCATTTTCATATTTTTTTACGTAAAAAATGTCTCTTACAAATGTCTCTTGGTAAAAATCGTTACGAGCAACCCTTCTCGAGATATTTAGAATGGGAATAGTCAATACATGTCATTACTGACAAAAAATAAACATGTTGAGTAGATAGTTATTGGACTAAAAAGATAAATTTGGAATATTTTTATTTTTTTAAATTAATCATAAATTTTTTTTGAAAAAATGATGATTGGTGATGAGTTGGCACAAAAACATTTCAAATTTATGATTTCTGTCTATTAACTATTTAGTCAACATGTTTAATTTATGTCAATGATGACAGGTATTGATAATTTCGATTTCAAATATCTCGAGAACTATTACTCGTAGCGATTTTTATTAAGAGATCTTTTTTACGTTAAAAATCACGGAAATGTATTTTTTTTTTACTTAGTAGTTTTATACAGATACGGACGAAAAGTTATTACTCTTCAAACCACTTAAAAATATACAGGTGGCGCCCTCTACAAGAAGGAGCCATATTGACATCAAAATCGAATTTCTCATATCAAAAAACTTCCAGACACCAAATTTCATCCAAATATTGGTGTTACTTCAGAAATTATTTGGAAAAAATCGAAATAAAAATGAAATTTCTACACCCTGTATTTCCGAAACTAAGCATTTTAGGACATACATTTATAAGAACTTTTTTACTTATTTTTATCTGCAGAATATGTTGCTGAAGTTTCCGGAATACAGTTCGGACCACCCTGTATATATAATCATCCACTGGAGGCGTCATACTGTATATCACTGTTGGATATAACTTCTTAATAATTTAAAATAATAAAATTTTTCACATTTTAGTTAGATCTACTATACAGTGTCCAGCAATAGTGCGTCGGGTATCTGTAGCTCATATAAAAAAACTTTTTGTTTAAGTGCAGATCTAAAGTATGTATATTATTCTGTAAACTTTGGTATAAGGATGTATTTCAGGAAAATATTTTAACTTCTACAAGGTGGCTCAAAAAAGTCTGAGTGGATTGGGATGACTTTCTTAAATGGAACACATAATCCTAAGATATTATATCGTAATCTTGAACCATACAAGGTGTTCAAAATCCTACGCCAAGCTTTCTAATATATAAATAATTTTTCCTCGTTTTTTTACATGGAACAGCCTGTATATTATTACTTTGTTGGATGGAGAATTAAAAAATGAACATTTCGCAAAATTCACAAAAAACAGTTTCGCAAATATTCGTGTTTTATTACATATGGCTCTTTCAACGGTAAAATGCCAGATAAATATCATTAGGTATAACATTTTGAAATACTCTAAATACAAAAAATGTTCATATTTTAATTCTCTATCTAACAAAGGAATAACACACAGAGTACGTGTTCCATTTAAAATATCGAAGAAAAGCTATATTATAGTTTAGAAAGTTTGGCATAGAGTTTTGAACACCCTGTATGGTTTAAGATTACGATATTTATAGGAAAGTAAGTACAAGCCAACTATAGTAAATACCTAGTACAGTTTTGATTTCAGGGTATCTCTTGTATTTTTAATATTTTTTTTTAAAAACGTTGAAAAAATATTTTTTTATTTATTTGTTAACATCTCTGAAGCTATCAAAACATATTTAATAATATCTTAGAATTATGTAAAGTGAGCAGAAAGGAAGCCAAAAATGCAATAATACACAGGTTATTTCAATTAAAAAAAATAATCGCGATTTAATCACATTTTTTTGAGCCACTGTGTAGCAGTTAAAATATGTTCCTGAAATACATCCTAATATATACTTTAGGTCTGCATTTAGACAAAAATCCTAAGTTTTTTTATTATGGGAACTACAGATGCCCGACGCATTTTTGCCAGACCCTGTATAAGAGTTTTGTTAAGATTTTTAACTATTCACTATTTTTACTAGGGTTCAAGGTGACCTATCGTCATAAGACTTCACCCTTATGTGTTTAATTGATTAATAGCCTATATATTTTTTGAGAGAACCCATACAAACAACCACAATCTGAAAAACGTAAGCTAATCCCTTTTATGGATTTAAATTACCTTTAAAGCGTTTAAATTCTTTAATATTTACACTCGACTTTAATAAAAAGAATTCGAGCCCTCTTTATTATACATAGGCCTATAATAAACAAGAATTTGAATCATAATTTTATACGCGCGCTTTTGATAATTAACATAAAATTAGTCAGTCAATTATAAACCTGTTGTCCTCTAAAATTCTAAAAAAATCAATGTCCTGAGATACGATCTTATAAAAAGATTGCGTCTCTACTGCTCTACCATGCTCGAGAGTTCCAGTATTGAGGAAATTCTTATGGGAGAGTATTTTGAACTTTAAGCTGACTTTAAGGCACTTAAAAAGGTGTTGCTTTTAATGTCATGTAAACTGATCCTTTAAGATACCGGCCACTTTAATACGTATATACGTTATAATGTTACACGTTATCACTCTCTAGCTCTGTTTTCTGTCATATTATGGTCAATACTTAAAGTTAAAAATATAATGAAAAGCGTTTCTGCATAATGTTTGACTAGGGACGTTTTTTGATTGATGACGGTAAAGCAGGCAATGCTAACGATAATTTCCTTAACAAAGGGAGCCATTTCGTATGGTTATGGACCAAACAAAAAGAGACCATTAAATTTTCAACCATGAAAATTCGAACGAATCCGTTTAGTAGGGTCTTCGTTTGTAATTTTTTTCAACACTTTCTTTAAATAATTAGTTACTACTAACGTCTCTAGTTTTTTATGAATCATATGTTTGAATTTATCTGTTCCGGAGTCCAAAATATACTAAAAATAGTCAAAGAATTTGTTAATAAAAAATCTACGAAAATAATAATATTTCGTATTATTAAAAGAAGACTTCCTGTGTTTATTGCTTCTGGTTTTTAACTATATCTATTATTTTAATGAATGAATATTATTAGGTCACAATATGCAAATTCAAGTGCGTATATTTTGTGTGATTTCTACGAGTCACATCAGAAGAGGATGCGTATATTAAGCGATTTAAATGTCGTAATATGAAGGTTGCTTATTAAAATTCCATACAAATCAGCGGCGTGCCTTATACTATCAAAAACCACAGCCCAGTGAATTTAGGAATTAAAATCATAAAATTTAATTATTAAAATTTTGAACCTTTTCCTGCTAAACGGATCGATTGATAAGACGCAATTTTTACTTCAGGAATTTTTTTCAATTTTTTTTTAAGCCAAATATTTGTATACTACGGCACTGGTAGAAACCTGTTTATTAAACAAAAATCAATCTTAATGGTGCGTTTTCAAATTTATGAGCATTTAAAAGTAATGGAGCATGTGTGTCCGTACTTATTTTGGAGTAAAATTAAAGATACTTTCCAAGAATGGTTCCGGTAAAGCAATAAGCTAACAAACAATAACACGAACATCAAACCGAAGCTTAAAGCTCTCAGATATTCTTCAATATTTGTTTTAACACGACTGGGGTTCTGTTTATCTTTTATCCGGCATATTTTTAATGTTCCCACGACCTTACCACGAGAGATATTGGTATTTCCTTATATTTTTACGTATCTATATATCTATATCGCAAATTCAATTTACTTGACATACAATATTATTAAGTTAAGTTTCTTTATACATATAGATATAAAGTTAAGTTTCTCAAGGCTTGGAACCCTACACCATGACGAGGTCAGTCGCATATTAAAGCTCAACAAAAAGATCAAATTGCATTTTCTTGAGTAATTATTGCCAGATGCGAAAAATAAAAGCAACACCCTGTATAAAACGTATTCGCGATGCATCGCTGTAAGAGCAGGTGCATTTTTCAAAGGCTTTTGGAAACTCTCTCTTAAATGGATTCCCAGCTCTTAAGAACATAAAATATAGACAACAAGATATTATTCTTTTTCGTTCTATTCAACTGATAAAATTTGTAGATATTATTTTATTATTTTTCAAATTGGTTCTAATTTAATTTAAGCACTGTTAAATCATAACAATTTGTCATATATTATAAACAATTTATGTTTTGTCATGTGTGAAGTCTTGTGTTAACATTTACAGCTGTTCATATTGTTGCAAATGGAAATATAAGTGGCAATAATTTTATATTGAAGTGCCAATTAGAACTCGAAGCATGTATAAAGCTTCTTAAAAAAATTTAAAAATAGATTTTTGTTTATTGTTTTAAAATTTTAACATCTGTAAACGTTTGGGTTTTATCTGTTGATGTCAGTTTTTATGCGTTAAACAACAAAATTTACCCTCTGCTTTTGATAAACTCGGGTTACATTTTAATTAAATTTAATTACTAGAGGTACTATAAGTACTACATTATACAGTATAATAGAATGGTAGGTACTAAAGATAAAGTAAATTGTGTTTTAAACCGCACTCCCACGTTTGTTGGTATTGAGTATTCTGTATCAAGAGAAACGTTATTTTAATAGTTTAGTATTTGAAGTGCTCGAAGCTATATTCTTGAACTAAAAGGTTTCCAACTTATTTTCCTATTATAAATTACAAATAATTCAATGTTTTTAGAGTTGTTTCCTAAGTTATTTATATTTAGAAAAATGTTGTAGAGAGAATTGGAGTGATATATAGCCCTTACTTAATGGGTTTTTGGTGTATAAGAATATGTTCTTTAAGTATTTTAAAAATAGAAAAAAATTTATTAAAATACTACACCCTCTAAACATTTTCAAATATCTTTATTCAAATTATTTATTTTCAGAACTAATAAATATCTTCAAAAGTCGTCCATCAGCAGAGTGTGTGCTGTCGGGGGTTTCTTCATATCAATACCAGTATTTCTAACAGGTACGAAACTAAGCATATTAGTATGTATATGGCTTGAATAAAATATTTATTTTTTGTAGGTATAATACTGTATACTTTTATCCAATTCCACTCGACTCCGGCGATAGTGACAAGTGTTTTTATTGGTCTCGGTATAATATTTTGCGGGTGCGCCATGGTACATAACGTTTTTATATGGCAAAGAGAAAAGACGAATGCTGTGAAAGAGTTGGCACTACAGCACGACACTACCCAGCAACACTACAATTCTTTTCATAGCATCACTTCGCAACCGCTTCAAACCAATTTAAACCAATCCTATGTAAGCAATTTTAATCAGAGTTTCGGACACCCCCTAGCAAGTATTCATAGCAACGGACCTTATATAATAAGGCCCTCAACGACTACACCGCCCTCAGGTGAGAACTTGAATATCAGCAAACATCCCAGGGAGGCTAGTGGTAGTGTCAGTCCTGGTATGCCTACTAATACCATCGATATCAGCAGTGTGGCTACCACGAATAGTCCACATGAATTATCAACTTTAGTTTAGTTAAAACTTTTTTCTAGCCATCTCTTGTCGATATTTTTAAATTTTTATTTTTGTTGTTTTCTTATATGGGAAAAGGTATTAAGCCGCATTTACATATATTGGTTTACCTGTCAGTCTTACGCTTCGTCCTACGAAACGTGGGCGACGAAAGCGCGCAATAAGGGCGATACGACCGACGCGACGTTATCAAAAAACGTTTTCTTATGAACAATGAATAATTTCTTATGAAACTTATGAATTAGCTCTGTTATCTATGCTTATGAAAGTGTCCTGCATTGCCGACGCAGGACGATTTCATAAGAAAAGTTGGTTGAAAAAACACATGTCGTACGTGGGCGACAAAAGTTCGCGATTCGGGCGATTTGACCGACACGTGTTTTTTCAAACAACGTTTTCTTATGAAGTCGTCCTGCCCCGGCAATGCAGGACACTTTCATAAGCATAGATAACAGAGCTAATTCATAAGTTTCATAAGAAATTATTCAGTGTTCATAAGAAAACGTTTTTTGATAAAGTCGCGTCGCTAATATCGCCCGTATCGCCCGCTTTTGTCGCCCACGTAGAACGAACCGTTAAGTCTGTCAAAATACTCTAAAACGTTGTATGTAGACGGGGCTTAAGTGAATTATTTTTATATATTGACGAAAAATCTAAAATGTTTCTTGCCATAAAAATTGTGACTTATTAAAATAATCTCTAGAATTTTTTTTTGTAAAAATTTGCAAGTACTTTTCCAGTACTCTATTGCTCCTTTGTACATAAACTGTATAAAAAAATACATATTTATTTTATTGTAAAATGCTACATTAATTTATTTTAAACTATGTGTTGTACATATATTAAAAAAAAGTCTTTCAAAAATACATGTTATGTGATTATTTCGAAAATAATACCGTTGACGTAACATTTTTCGCATATTTCTTTATATCACTGTTTATAAAATAGCAATTTGCAAAAATCAAAGAGTCTAGTACAAATTATCACTACCATTAGGTTCTGATATTTATTATTAAATATAAGCTATTCTATATGATTAAATAAATCATAATATACATTTCTTAATATTTTTATATTGCTCTTGCCACTTAAAAATATATTTTAGTTACAAAGATAGGTGCAGTTGTTATTTTTATCCCAAATCCTAGATAAAAAATTACTGATTATTTTAAATCCATTATATCCGTTTGTTTTCATTCTAATTTCAATGAATCTTTTGTGATAACATAAATAATGTAGTGCTTCCAGAGTTCTATTTAATAATTTCATTTTTTCTGTGAAATATACAAGAAATATACTTCAGAAAAGTAATACTAATTTTAATAATATCAGAGCTATAATACTGGATTTTTGCCATAACGCCAAAACTTTGGGATCCTCCACCATTTACCCGTCATTAAAATTTAGTTATTTTAGTTTAATTAATTAAAAATTATTTGTTCAATATTGTAAATAAGAAACTAAAACAAGGTATTTTTTATTTATTGGGTAGTAATCTTTATTGACTATTATAAATAAAAGAAGAAATATATATAAAAATCTTTCTAAAAATGAATAAAACTTAATAACAATTACAAATAATCATTTTTTGCAGAAATTGACTAGCTAGAGATATTAACAAAATAACTTTCCTTATAAAACCAACAAAAATGTATATTTTTGATTATTTTGATGACCTCACTTAGTCAAAATTTGCATTTCTGTAACAAAAATAGCCAACGATACAAAAATAAGACAAATATACAAACAAACGTGACTCAAAAATAACAGTTGATAAAGGACTAGGTCAGCAAAGCACTGATTAAAAATACTATACTTCATAATATCATAATTAGAAAAATACTGCATAGACTAGAACAGTATGCGTTTGGAATCAAAGGATTTAAATTCTAAGCCCATATATCACTTATCTAGTTTGTTTTGGCACAGCAGAGTAAGCTTTCAGGAGAGATCTTTTGCTTGTCACTTTTTTCTTATCCGGATACTTGTGGTAAACCTGCTTCATCTCGAATTTTACAGCAGGAGCTTCCTCACTTGCCATCTGACGTTTGCGCATGTTGTTGCCAGTATATGCTACTCCCTGCAGCTGATATTCCTGTGTATCATTGTTGAAAATACAGTACTGCTGTATCACTTTCTAAAATTATATATATTAATAAATATTTATAGAAAATCTATATTAAATAATACCTTATATTCTGCAGGTATGTAATAATCAATCATCAAGTTAGATAACTGCATTTCTCTGACTAACAGACGGTTGTTGTCGTTAAGACCTTCCATGTCTCTTTGGTATTCATGCTCTTTATCGGCGTACTCTTCCTTTGCTTCTTTAATTCTTTCTTGTACAACTTTGATTTTCTTATTTAGTGCCCCATCTTCTTCTTGGAGAGATGAATATTTCTCTTCAATATCAATTTTCTCTTCTGTCATTCTGTTGTATTGCTCTTCAAGTTGTTGGTGGCTACGGTCTAAATTTTCTAATTCTTGTCCAGATGTTAGGAGTAGGAATTCTTGCTGTTGAGCTTTCTCCAAAAGGTTTTCACCACCGCAAATGATTTTCTTCTGTATTATTGACAAACGATCTTCTAATTCCCGTTTTTCATGCCTAAAAAACAGAAATATTATCAAAAAGAATGACTGCTGTAATACATATTAAATATCTTACTCAATTCTTTCCATTTCCGCTTCAGCTTTCTTAATTTTCTCAACATCTAGCTCCGATTTTGCTTTTTTCCTCTAATAAAATTAAAAAAAAACTTTACTAAAACTTCCTCAAAAATATCTTTAGAGTCACTCACAGATTTTGGTTGTTCAGAAACCATAGTAAGTAGGGATAGTTTTTGTTGTAGTTCAGCAATTTCCTGTTCAAAGTGTTCAATAAGACCGCTTTCTTCAACATTGATTTTAGCATAATTTTTAATGTACTTGGCTTTGTGGGCATATCTCAGTGTACTGTGGGATTCTTCATAATCTTGCTCTGCTGGGCTCACCATTGCAATCTAACAATAAAGCCAAATAAGTAATATATCAACCAATAAATGCTGTAAGATTTTTACCATTGAAGTTTTTGAATTGCCACCTAATGAATCTTGTAATAACCGCGTCAACTTTGAATTTCGGTACGGAACAAATGATTTACCTTCCACTAATGCTTGGATGACATTACTAAGGGTTGAAAGAGATTGATTAATATTGCCTGCCTCTCTCAGACCTTCTCCAGTAACGCCTGTCTTCTTAATCCTTTCAGAACCCTATAAAAATTTACCAATAAATATAATCATTTAACCAATAAACTTACAGCAAGATCCACAAGGTTCAATTTTCCAACAGTTGTTTTGTTTGTGTGCCTGTTTTTAGACTCAACAACAATTGTAAATATTGCATGAGACCTGGAGCTAACATTATTCATCATTGTTGATCTGGTTATTCTGTTCTTATTTCCCCTATCCATCAATTGTGTAATTGATTCTACAGAATCCACTGTAAATCCTGATAAATCTTTTACATAAATCCCAATATCTTTTCTTTCTTTAATTTGAAGCTTTTTATTCGGATCAGACCCCAGTAAATCTCGAACCTCTTCATTGTATATTTCCAAATACATAACTTTTACAATAAATGACCTATCTTCACTTGAATTAGCTATTTGAGTAAAAATATGGGTAAATGTATTAGGTATTATTCCTCTCAACTCTGAGACTTGATAATTTCCTGTCATAGTAAATGTTTTTCCAGTTCCAGTTTGACCATAGGCAAAAATAGTTGCATTGTACCCATCAAAGACTTGTTCAACTAAGGGTGCAGCAACTATGCGATAAACATCCAACTAAAATTTACTACAAATTAAAATTTATATAACTAATATTTCACTTATGTTACCTGAGCCGAAGTGGGAGAAAAAATGTAATCTAATTTAAAGTATTTGTTGTCAAGATCCTTTCCAGTACACTTCTCTGGAGGCTTCTTTAAAAGCACCACATTTTCTTCATAATCACAAACAATAATTCCTTTATTACCTTCTTTAACTTCTCTTTCGTTAAAGGGCCTGATCCTTACATATACCCTGACGTTATTTGCACCCCTTGGATGGTTTTCTTCCATACTGCTGGTACTATAAAATCAAAAATTAACCATCAATTTTAATAGTTTTAATGTATTTACGTAAACTGGTAGAGGAGTATAAAACCCTATAAAACTAAGGCACAAAAAATCCTCTTATATTGCACTGATATCTCCTATTTTGTATATCGTTTTAAATTGTTGTTTCTCTAAAATCGAAACGTCAAAATATTACCTTAGATTAATGTCAAGGGTGAATATGGTGAATTTGAATCATATGGGTTACCTAGGAAACGCACGCTAAGGCCCTGTCTGGAAGAGTTATATAATCCATATATAATCGTATGAGTGAGGTTGATTTTTAGAAAATATCCTGTGTATGCGTCACAATTTGTAAAAATATATGCAAATTATTATCGAACTAGGAAATCTTTCAGAAATTTAAGCACCAAGAAGGGAAAGTCAAACCTTCAGTTGCATTATCTTTAAAACTTTAAATATGATAATTCATACGCACCAACTTTTAATACCAAATCCCAATTATCTTTTTTACTATAAATATTACCGTATAATGTATATGATTCTATTTCTTTTTACTTTATGTTTACTTCAAATTACTGTTCCCAACTGAGCTTAGCATGAAAGATAGTAAGTGTATATGCAACTAATTATACACCAATATTTTCCAATCTTCCATTTTATTTCCCTAATTTTATTTGACATCATTTGACATTTGACATGTACAGTACAGTGTACAGTTACCTGTAATTTGAAAATCATTACTCAATGATATTTTTCCATTTTTTATATAATTTGTGTCTTGTCTAATTTATTATAACCTGTAATTAAAATATAGAAAACATAGATTGTGAGCAAAATTCCTATTAAGAAGATATTTATTCAAATAATTTTCATGTTTTGCATCAAGATCTATAAAATAACAAAAAATCTCTTATGTCTACCTTTTGACGTTCAAGTAAAAACTAATTGAAAACAAAAACGTGAACAATTAAAAGGATCGTCTATGATTTAAAGGGAAAACGTTTTCGTATCTGACTTCTTATATTTCGAGGAGGATGGTCCGCAAAAGATGTAGGTACTCTAATATAAAGCAGTTACACCTTATAAATATAACGAAAATTTAAGGTCATAGGAGAAAGAAAGTGCTATTTAAACATTAAGTAATGGATTTGGCCCCATGTGTGGATGAAAATGACACTCCTTTTCTAATTGATAGTGGAACAGAAAGTATAACAGAGAGCCCCTTGGCTGAGGAAACAGAACATTCCGATGACTCCACTGTGTGTGACCTTAAAATTGGTAAGCCAATTCTATTTTGCACTCTATGTAATCCATTATTTATATGCATTGTGAAAGATATATTATTTATCCTGGAGCATTGTTACACAGCCTAATAAGCAGGGAACACCTACAATTAATAAGAAGAAACACAAATCATAATGAAAAGTTCATTCAAAGTATAGTATGCTTTTCTAATTAAAAATGTAATTAATTTAGCCATGGATACTTTGGGATTCTATAAACAAATATTTTCAGGGAAATTATTGAATATTTTTATAATGGTATCTTCAGATATATTCTTCGAATGATATTTCTTACAGATACCTCAAATACTAAAACCAAAGTAAAGTTATCGACCTCTCTCCTAGACAAATCATTTTCCATAGACGAAGATGAATTAGGTACACCCCTGGAACCGACACCTATTTCTAAATTCATTGGTTCATCCCTATCCCTAAACAGCGTCACACCTGAAGAAACAACATCCGAAGAAGACGATGGTATTGAAGATATTAATCATATCGATCTGGATAAGCATTGCAAGGAAACAGAACAGGAAGCGGTTCTTGAAGATAACGTAAATATTTTGGAGGACTCATTCAAAAGGAAGGTTGATTTAAACGATAAAGAAGATGATAGTTCTGCAGAGCTAATAACCTTTTTCGGTTAGTTAAATCTGTAAAATTCACTTTACTTACCTTTAAATAATATAACACTAATAGCTAAATAAATATTGCTTGGGTGGGAACTTCTTTAAATCTTTAAAACGCATTACTAGCTCACTCTATATGAATAACCCTGAATTAACGTTTTGCCAATTCAACTAAAACTTTATCTTATAAAGAAAAACATTTAGAAGCTGAAGATATTTATATTCACAATCATTACTGATAATTCAATTTCTTATTGTATTTATGATATATTTTTATTAAATATGAAATTATGAAATACATAGGATTTTTTTTGTAGAAACTGTTGAAGACGAAAATGAAACAGATAATTCAGATAGGGAAGAATTCAGCTTACCTGACACTCCCCGGGCGTCAATTTTACGGAAATCTTCCTGTTTTGAATCAACGCCTAAACATCGTGTGTTTTTCCCAAAAGATGATTCGGTTTTGGTAAGTTGCAGAGAGCCAGAAAATTCCTATCCATGGACGATCAGTAAGTCACTTTGTTCGTACTTATATAAATAATTAAATTTCTAACTATTTAAACTCTTTAGACGACTATCTAGCACCCGAGGAAATCCTTCAAATTTACCAGGATTCCTGTAAAAGGCACAACACTATCGAACTAGACGCTGTCAAATCTCAAATACTAGAAATCAAAAATAACATGAATCATTCTGCCACTTTTAAATTAAACTGCATTAAAATCACTTTTGACGTGAACGAAACGTTAGAGGATATATTAAAAGTTACCAACTTTCACACCTTAATTTTACAAGAGTGCCAATTCACACCTGAGACCATGACAGAATTCCTGAATATGCTAGAGTATTACAAATCGGCTTGCCATATTGAAGTAGCGATGAATTTTGACGACGACGACACATGGAAGTGTTTTTGTTGTGCTTGTAGCAACATAATGGTGTTAGAATCTCTGTCTTTCAAGGGCATGGATATAACTGAACCTTATACAAGGCAGCTTATCAATGTGATTAAGAATAATTCCAACATCACTACGCTTAAATTTGATGGGTGTATGCTAGTCAAGCTTCCCACGTTCTATTTAAGTAAGTTTTAACAAAAAAAAATTGTTTATGCTTTTTAGACAATACATTACTATTCTAGTTGAAGCACTTATGACAAATTCTACTATAAGAGAACTCTATCTTCCTTCCACGGGTTTGTATACTAAAGAAGCCGATGCTTTGCAAAGATTTCTTGTAAATAATACACATTTAAAAGTTTTGGATATTAGTAATAATAGTTTAGGCGATAGAGGACTGGAGACGTTGGCGAAAGGATTGTGTAATCAGAAAATCGCCGGAATTGGATTGTCAGTGCTTGTTATATTCAATAATCAAATCACTGAAAAAAGTGGGCCTGTTATAAAAAATATAATCGTGAGTAAATCCCCGTCTATACATAACATTTTGCCTGTCAGTCTTACAGTATCGAGTAAAATCTTGTGTGTAGATGAAAAAACGGACCGTTTTACTTGAAAAATTGTTTAGAGGTATTTAATGATCATTACAATCGATACTATTTTCACAATTAACTTTGTGTGTTTATAAATGAAATTTAAACCATGAATACAATTTTGTAGTAAAGTTTCATCGTTTTTTCTTTTCAACTTCACTACTATAAACACCATGCTTTAATAATTAATAAGACCGTAGGTAAAATGTTATATATATATATATATATTAAATATTTTCAAAGGAAATTCTAATATGAACTTTTATGGTCGTAGATTGAATGTAGTAATCTTCATACCTTAAATATCGGATTTAACAATTTAACTGACGATGTATTAGATTATATCAGTGAAGGGTTACCTCTAACAAAATCTTTGGAGGGCTTAGGCTTACAGTGCACCCTTCTAACGTGCAAGGGTATCTTATCACTTTCCAAAGCTATTCCCGAAAATACTTCTCTGCAAGTAAGTGCATTTTATTAACAGGTTTTAAGAACCTAATATATCAACTTTTAAAATTTCAGAAAATCAATCTTAAAGGGAATAAAGCAATTCAAATAAAAGGCGTGGAAGCTCTTTGTGACGCTCTAACAAAGTCCAAGATAACAAAAATCGAAATCGACGAAAATAACCGCTCTTGCAATGTACGTTCGTTTAGTCACACCCTGTATATGTCTGCTTACATATAACTTTTAGGATCCTGAAGCCTATTCGCAGCTGATTAAAAAACTGAACGGTTTGTGCACCGTGAATAAAAATATTGCCGAAGATAGTAGCGAGGACGAAGAAATTTTAAACATCTCGCAAAAAGCATCTCGGAAAGTGTCTTTGAGTTGTGAACCGAAATATGGCGGTCCTGACAAGACTTTCCAGGTATTTTTCTTGCGTCTAAACGAACAATTTTCACGCCACATCTATTTTTTTGTGGGCGTTTTTTATTTATTTTTATCTTATGACAGATTGGATCTCCTTTCCCGTCTCCTGCTTCGAGTCCATCACCAAGAAGCCGTTTCCAGATAGTCAAGGTTCCAGAAAATCGAAAGGTGGAACCTCCGACTCCTATCAGAAGTTCCAAATCCAGGTTTAGAGTAAGTAAGGTGCTAATAAGTCCGGAAGACGACATCATTGTAGGGCGCTTTGCAAATATACGAAGCAGCGTTTCATCCAACGACAGCAGTGTCGATTCTTTAACAACTATCCATTTCGATAGCGATAGTGAGTGAGTAAACAAATTTTGTCGCTCTTTATCGGTAAAACATTTCCCAGTCCTTCTTTTTATCTTTCAAAGCGTTTACATGTATTTTTTTATGCTTGTATATATATAGAGGAGGGCTTGAATAGATTTGGAAGGGGGGGGGGGTCATTTTATGGACTTCAATTTATTCTACGTTATTTATTAAATATTCTTTAACAAAAAATACTTGTTGTACCTTATATAAATACGTTTGTGTATATTTAGAAAAGCAATTACACAGAGTATTTAAGTACGTAGTCAAACTTCAGAAGGTGATTCTTTGAAATTTGGCCACATACTTCAATAACACCCTGTGAAGTGACTAAAAGCTATATATATATATATATATATATATATATATATATATATATATATATATATATATATATATATATATATATATATATATATATATATATATATATATATATATATATATCGATTTTCTGTATTTAGTTGTTGGAGAATAATATATATAGCCGAATATACATTAGACAACAATACATCTGCAGTGTGAATCCGACTTCATTCATACGTGTGTTAACAGTAGTAAATAAATGTCTTTGGGGTTTTATATGTTATAATATTATCGCAGTGAAATAGTTTCTTAGACATATGTATAAACAGTTCATGCTTTTTATAGAGAGGGATAATAATTGCATTTAGCTTTAACAAAACATTCTAGTTTTAAGCTCAGACGTACGTTATTTTTTTAATTGACGGAATATAATTTTGCCATGATATAACGATTATAAATAGATAAAGTACTTCATAAAAAACCCTTAGACTAACGGCCGCCATCTTCGATGTGGTTGAAAAACGAATCGGTTCAATGACATGCTTTATTTAACGATGCACTATGTGTGCTTATGTAAAAAGATTTACTATATAAAAATATATTTATGAAAAATTCTAGCAAGGTATTACAGAAAATAGTGTTATGCGTATAAACTTCAATATATATTTGTACATTGAATAAAACTTTGTAAATATATCATACAGTTTTATAATATTTTGCGTTGTTAAAGTTCTTTGCTCTTTTATTTATTTTTATCGAGAAAAAGATAAGAAAATAGGATATATTTTGAGGGTCATGTACTATTTATAAAATCAAGAAGCACGGAGTAGTTAAATTTATTCGACGTGGAAAAATCAAGTACAATTTACAACTGTTATATATCTATATATTTTGAATAGAGAATTTGTATATTTTGGGTTTATAGGAAGGGGATGCCTGTTTTAAGGATGCAATGATTAATTACGATTATTTCTACAGGAATTATCAATTTTTTGTTTGTGTAAGTAACGTGTATTATAACTTAAGCTAGAGTGGCAGCTGTTATGGGTCTTTTAAAAGGCAATTACATGTCTGTATAGATTTGGTATTTTGTTAGTTCTGTGATACATCTTAACTGATGGTTTTTTCCTTAAGATTTTTTTCCAAGTACAACAATATTTGTGATGTTCCAAACAACAGATTTCTCACAAAACCTCACTTACGATAAGTTGTATTACTATTTTAAGTATGTTATTTCTTAAGTGGGTTTTAAGTTTAAGTTTGTTACATACAGCTCTTAAAAAACCTAGACAATAAGATTTATGAGAAGTTTATTATTTAGAATATTTTAGTTATTTTTAATACATACAATATATAACCAATAGATAATTTTTTATAAACCACAGAAAAAGTAAATTTATTGGTTTTGTTGAACCAGTGAAAAAAGGACGCTTTACTTTTAAGTATCAGAAAATGTTTTAATTTTATTTAGTGATATTTTGTGTGGTGTCTGAGAAGGCAAATCGGTTACTTAGGGTTAATGTACATAATTTTTTACTTATGAATGAATATCTCGTTTTTATATAAGCAAACTGTCAAGTTTTTTCTAAACACAGATCGCGGCAACATGAAACATGTCCTGTAAATTGTATAATGGTATAAATAAGTACATATAATACAAACTAGTGTTAATAATTAAATCTATTTTTATATTAATGTTGACAGGTAATACTGGGGTTAATGTTAGATTTTAAGTAGCGTACATATTAGTGATTTTTGGTACAAACTTAATTGTATTTTTTCCATGGACTAACTGAAATATTTTGTTGATTTTCTCTCGCATGCACTCATACAATGCCTCTTTTGTTACTTAGATTTTTTTAATGATTTCTATTTTTGTGTATGTGATAAAATGGATGTGATACTGTATGATACCTTTTAAGAGTATTTTAAAATATAACCAGTTATGGTAGATTATCTGTGTTTATAATAAAATGTATGTTTCTTCTAATGGTTGTTTTTTGTAACTGTCATCAACCTTAAATTAGTTCATTAATTTTAAAATTATCATTTCATATTTGATATCCAAATATTTCAACATAAAATTTAAAACCGTTGCCATAACTAGTGACTACGTGGAATTCTATAAAATTATATCCTATTCCTCCTGAGATATAACTGGGATATGCCTGTACTTCAGGATCTTCATCATATATATTCACACAAGTTATGTTCACTCTTCCTTCAACAATCACCTTAAAAAATTATATAATATATCAGAATAACGTATATATTTTATTTTGTACCTTTATGTTAGCGGAAATAAGAGTTTGATTGTCATTCTTCAAAATGATGTTCTCTTGGTGAAGCATCGGAACATTTTTCGGACATCTCCCGATAAAGAGATGGTGAGGTTTTTTAACTTCTTTAACGACAACTGAAGAAATTAAATTCAAAATTAAATCATGGCTTAACTCAAGCTTAATTAGTACTCACTACTTCCTTTAATTGGGTAGTTTTTCGATGTGATCGTCGTGAACATCTGAACAATATTAATACATAAAAAAATTATAGTTAAAAATACGTAAAGACCTCGAGTGATGGCCATATTCACTCTAGTATTTGTCATCTTCCACTAAAAGGGTTTTTGTGTATGAAGTACAATATATGGAATTTCATTTAAGTAGATCAGATCATAGGTTATCTGTGTTTATTGGAACTGAAGACTTATTTATTATACATTGAAATGCACTTTAATATGGTGTATACCTTGTGTAATGGAACTAAATCAGATAGTTATGGTGTCTTTTTATGAACAAAGTAGAGAGTGTCAATAGATATCAGAATTGTAAAGGTCAGTATATATGGTCAGTAGGTTGTCCGAACTGTATTCCGGAAACTTCGGCAGCATATTCTGCAGATAAATAAGTAAAAAAGTTCGTATAAGTGTATGTCCTAAAATGCTTAGTTTCAGAGATACAGGGTGTATAAGTTTCATTTTTATTTCGATATTTTCCAAATAATTTCTGACGTAACGTCAATATTTGGATGAAAATTGGTGTCTAGGAGTTTTTTGACATGAGAAATTTGATTTTGATATTAATATGACTCATACTGGTAGAGGGCGCCACCTACATATGTTTTAACTGTTTTGAAGCGTAGTAACTTTTTGTCCGTACCTGTATAAAACTACAGAAGGAAAAATATGCATCTTTGCGACTTTTTACGCAAAAAATATCTCTTTGTAAAAATCGCTACGAGCAACCGTTCTCAAGATATTTAGAATGGAAATAGTCAATACATGTCATTATTGACGAAAAATAAATAGGTTGAGTAAATAGATATTTTCACTGAAATAATAAATTTGAGAAATTTTTATTTTTTTAAATTAATCATAAGTTTTTCTGCAAAAAAATGATGATAAAACAGTTTCTGTTGAACTTTTGGCACAAAAACTTTAAAATTTATGATCTCAGTCTAATAACTATTTAGTCAACATGTTTAATTTATGTCAATGATGACAGGTATTGATAATTTCGATTCCAAATATCTCGAAAACCAATACTCGTAGCGATTGTTACCAAGAGACATTTTTTACGTAAAAAACGTCGCAAATGTATATTATTTTACTCAGTAGTTCTATACAGGTACGGACGAAAAGTGATTACTCTTCATAACCAGTTAAAAAATATGTAGGTGGCGCCCAGGAGTCATATTGACATCAAAATCAAATTTCTCATGTCAAAAAACTCCCAGACACCAATTTTCATCCAAATATTGACTTTACTGCAGAAATTATTTGAAAAAAATCGAAATAAAAATGAAACTTCTACACCCTGTATATCCGATACTAAGCATTTTAGGACATACATTTATAGGAACTTTTTTACTTATTTTGATCTGCAGAATTTGCTGTCGAAGTTTCCGGAATACAGTTTGGACCACCCTGTATATTATAAAAGTATTTTATTATTAAGTTTTTTTTAGGACACGGAAGACAAGTAAGGTACTCTAGAATCATAGTGCGTTAATATTGGCAATAAAAATTTAAAGACGTTTTGAAAAATCGTTGTACCAATATCATTCTGAGGATATTGATTTATACAGGGTGTTTCAAAACAAATGCGAAAAACTTCAGGGGGTGATTCCTTGTTCAAAATAAAGGGTAGTTTGCTTCATAAACGTTGGGTCAAAAGTCAACCATTAGGGAGATATCGCGGTACAAAGATGGCAGAAAAATAATGTTTTAATTTTTTATCTTGAAAACGAACAGAGATAGACTAATGAAATTTTATGGAAGCATTACTGTTATGAAAACACACTTTCTGGTAATTTTCTCACTTTTTTAAAATGAGTTGAAGGGGTGGAAATAAACTACCCCTATTATACTTGTTAACGAAATTTAAAGAAAAATCTTATCAAACGCATGCAAAAAAATTAATTTGGATAGTTTAGTTTGTTTAGAAACTTTTTTATCTCTTGTGTTTTTTTGATAAAACTCACCGATTTAAAATTAAAAAATAAAATGTAAAGCATTACCCCATGTCAGGACAAGAAACATTTTTTTTTAATATGTACTTTTTTTATTATTTTGTATTTTCATGAATTAAAATACAGAATTAAAAATTGTCTTGGTAAATAATTTTTAAGAGGTTATCGTTCAGAAGAAAATGTAACGATATTATTACGAAATAAAACTGTTTGACAGCAGCCTACTAGATTCTTTATCCAAAAATGTTTTTTGTCCTGACATGTAATGCTTTACATTTTATTTTTTAATTTCAAATGTTTTATGTTTTACTAAGAAAACACAAGAGATAAAAAGTGTCTAAACAAACTAAACTATCCAAATTTTTTTTTTGCATGCGTTTGATACGATTTTTCTTTAAATTTCGTTAACAAGAATGATAAGGGTAGTTTATTTCAACCCCTTCCACTCATTTTAAAAAAGTGAAAAAATTACAAGAAAGTGTGTTTTCATAACAGTAATGCTTCCATAAAATTTCATTAGTCTATCTCTTTTCGTTTTCAAGATAATAAATAAAAACTTTATTTTTCCGCCATCTTTGTACCGCGATATCTCCGTAATGGTTGACTTTTCACCCAACGTTTATGAAGCAAACTATCCTTTATTTTGAACAAGGAATCAGCCCCTGAAGTTTTTCGCATTTGATTTGAAACACCCTGTATATAAGCTTATTAAGCTATAAGCACAGATAACATGTTTATTTTTTATTTTACAAGAATAAGAATAGAAACTTCGAGGATTTTTAATTTTGGAGTATCATATGTACACGAATTATGATAACTTAGATGTGCGTATCATGAAATCATGATAATGACAGTCTGTGCAGTTGTATGGTGGGTTGCATGACTACGCAACTTTGTACATGTATTCTATACAGTACGTGGCAGTACTTATTCTATGCTATGCAGAGTAGATCCATAACGTATACGACACAATGTATAGATGTACCCAAATATAGGTATATGGATGTACTTACCTATATCAATATATACATGCATATATAATATACAGGTGTCTAAAAAGGCATATATAGGCGAGTTATAGAGTTTTATAGTTACGTTCAGTTACGTTTATTTTATTTAATTATTGGAATACATGTTTCTGCAAAATAAACTTTACTTTGCGTCGCTTGATTTTGTATACCTGCTCGATAGAGGGAGGTTGTGTCTCAAAATGGCGTCGTACCAGTCTGTGGACCTTACTGGGTTAACATTATTCTTTGTTAACTTATGTGCCAGAATGAGACAGAAGCGAAGTGTTTATAACTTTTAAATTTTATGTTAATATTTCCATTGTAAATATACATAAAATACGTTTTCTTCTTTCACTTACGAATGTGGTATATAACCATATGTAGCGTTGTTATGAATCCTGAAGTATTTTAAACAGGGGAAACGAAATTTTCTACGGCAAATGCTTTATTTTCATAACGTGCGGTTGTTTATAAGAGAGAGTAACTAGTGTTCGGCGAATATTAGTGACCAAGAGGAGCGCAATATTCCGTTCTATTTTGAGATGCGATCTTAATAATTTCTCAATCTCCAGTTGTTGTGTGTAGTTTGTGTGTGAACTCTTTTTAAAAAATACAAACTGACCACGAGGGATGAGGTGATTTTTTAATAAAATAAAAAAATCTTCTGGTGCTTCATACTCTTTAACTTATATGTGAAAGTGTCTAATATTATTGTATACCGTATTTTTGTGAAACTTAAAGGATAGACAAAAAAGTATTTTTATATCACTATGGATGAAAATGAAGATCCTAAATCACCTATCAGACGGTTGGGTTCGACCAGAAAACTCCTAGTTTTCAACAGTAAGTTTTCCGTAAAATTACTTAAGTTATTATAAGTTGAAAAGTATAATTTCTTGTTGTTATTTTGAAACTCGCGCAATATGCAGAGATTTTATATTATAAAGTTTGAAAAGTTTTTTGAACCCTTTTTTAATTTATTAAATTAAAACAATCATTAAGTGATTAAAAAAATAATTGGTTTTAAAATTAATACAGACAGGTTGAAATAACGTCGACTGAACCAGGCAGGACATCTAATTTATAAAACATAAAAAACTGAATTGTTTAAAGACCTACCCAGCCTGTCTACCTACAGGCTGTACATGCATCTTCAATAGAAAACCTTTAACAATAACTTACAGCCTTTTGTTAGCCTTTAAGCTTCAATAACTCTAGGTAGAATTTATTCAACCTTCAAAAGGGGCAGGTGTGTTAGAATAAAGTTCTTTGTACCAGGTAGATGAGGCTTTCACTCTCTAATACTTGGACTTTATTTATTATTTATTTTAAAACGCGCCTGTTAAATACTCTTCAAAAATTAATGTTTACAAATATGAAAATTCACTTAAAACCCATAAATGTCAGACTTGTTAGTTCAATGAATTTTTAAACCGAATTCTTGAAAACTTGATCTGAGAATCATCTTCTGACCTTGGATTTAATTGCTATTGTATTATGTAGTTAATAAATGATCTAACAGTATGTAACTTAACTTTGTCAAATAGATATTTATTTAAAATATTATATGCCCTTTGAAAGATTCATATAGCTATTTCGGTAAAAATATTAATTAAACTTTTTTAAAGTTGAATATACCATTATTAGGATTATGTTTCAATTATTCATTTATCTGTTACAAAAATACACAAGAGTTGCATGAAAGTAAAGTTTCATTTAATTGTAGAACAATTACCTAATTGCTCTTTTTTATTTAGTTTGTGGTGTCATGACGTTTTTTTGTTATTTTTAAGTAAAAAGGAAATAAATGACACGCTCTCTACATTACAAAGAATTGGCTTAGAGAAAACAATGTCTTTTCCTTTTAAATTAAGTACATTTAAATTAATCTAAGTTATGTTTTTTCACAGAGTTTTTTTTTCGAATTCTCACAAGAAAATATAATATTTAAATTTTTAGTTGCTTTTCTTTAGGCCAATACTCCTGAAATTATTTACAATATAAATTTGGGTTTTTCACCATAAAAGTTGTTTAAACATATTATTTCAAATATGTTTCCAGATGTTCCTAGAGTTCGGTATATTATGAATGAGAGCTGTTTGAATTTATTTTTGTTAGATTAAATATAGAATTATGTATATCAGAAATGAATATTTTCTTATTATGTTTACTTCGTGAATTTTTTTCGAAATATTTAATTTGCTGGTTGGAATACCAAGAAATTTTTCATGCAAAACGTCAGATACGCCATATCAGAAAATGTATATGTTTGTACCTGGTATTCTTATCTTTTAATTTGAATTTGTGTTTTATTTTTATGATACAATAACACAACTGTTGGCCGGTTTTATCTATGTTGGTATCGCCTATATCGATTGTATACAACGTAAAGATATAATATATAAAAATATCTATGTATTTCATAAGAGCAGTGATTGATGTCAGAGTCAGTTGCAAGTGCAGATTTATGAGATTTAACAATCCGTGTAGTATTTTTATTTTATTTTCCCACAAAGACAAGCCTTATACAATATCATACATTGTAGACCTGTTAAATACAGTATTGCCGTAACTTTGTGCAATCTGTAATGGCTTTTACAACTAAAAGGAGAGCTTGCTTGCTGTTCGACAACCTTGCTGCACGCGGCGTACGAAATAAAAGAATGATTATATGCAATTTTCTATTGACTCGGCACTGTACTAAAGATTTTTTTCAAATTGTTTAAGATATAAATAATTCTTATTGGTTAACCCAGGCTGGACCATGTCAATATTAAAAGAGGTGCGGTCTAAGCCCATTAAAAAGATAGAAAAACGAACTAATAGTTGACAAACTCGAAAGGACCATCTGGCGATAGACTATATAAAAGATATTCCATCGGGAATATGATACTTGTCCTAATCGAGGTTCTATCTAAAAATACCCCGCCTTGAAAGAGATTCTTGAAAATAGGAAGGCCTGTGGAACGATTAAAAATACATGTTTTATAATAATAAAACGGACTTAACTACCAATCATAATACCTGGAATTTCCTGCTAAGAAATAATTAATATGTATGCAGTGAGGACTACTAATAACATAATTATATCAATTTTCAGTATCGAGGCAACATCTACTCCGTTAGATTAAACATTTAATTTTTTTGTTGTAAATCATGTTTAAGAAGATATACGTAGATGTGTATCTTATCTTTTAAGGTGACATTCCATTAAGGTACCTACTACGCGTATGCGTACTGAATATATCGACTTATATATTCTCCCTCTTAAAAAACAATAGACAATTAAAAAAATTCTCGCACCTGTATGCAGTGATAAACTTTACTCGGTGTTGTGTAGTTGTTTTTAGTTGATTTGTATCCCTCAATCAGCTCTATGTCTATACATATTTCTGGTATGTTTTTATCATAAGAATACTCAACATTTAATAACAATTTAAAAGATTAGGCCCAGTTAAGCCCCCTCTACACATAACGTTTTATCTCTCAGTCTTACCTGTTCAGGCAAAACGTATCAAGTCAAACCTTCTGTAGACGAAAAACGATCCGTGCTACTCGAACTGAATTAAGACGTGAATAAAATATAAGTAAATTTACAAAAAATAATTTGGATATAGGTATTACAGCATCTTTAATAAGCGACTGTTAAAAATGTAATATTTTTAAGATCATTACAACGATACTATTTTTATAATTAGATTTGCGTGTTTACAAATGACATTTAACCAATAAATACAATTTTGTAGTAAAATTTCATGTTTTTCTGTACTCAATCTGTACTAAATACAATGTTATAATTGATAAAAACGCAGATAAAACTTGCAGTATATACTCTAGTTCTTAATCCGTTTTACAGGTAAAACGTTATGTATAGACGGGGCTTTATATTTACTCATAATTATAGGACTGATCACCTTTGTCTTGATGTTTAGTCTATTTATTATTGGATTTCTGAATATTATTTCTTTAGAAGTAACATATATGAGCTTTTTATTAAGTTATTAATCGTTTAATAGTTGCAATCATGTGAAAAAAAAATGTGACTTTTATCTAAACAAATCTTTGTTTAGTAAATTGTAGATTTAATACAATATTCGTAGTCTTTTTAGATGTGACATTTTCGAGGATGTTTTATTCAAGTCTCATTAAAGACAGCTAGTCGTAAAATAATTACTATAATGATCGCCGACTGAAAATGCCATGCCACCCCCTATTTCGCTTTTAGGGGGAGATGGCGTGTTTTTCTTCAGAAGGGAGGTGACTCATCGAATTCCGTATTGATATAAAATGTGGATTGGGAGCCTTAAAGACCTTAGCCAGTCGTTTGCGAGTTGTTTTTACATTCTTTTTTCGATTCCGCAAGTTCAATAAAAAATCAATCTATCATGCTCAGCGTATTTTTCTTCTTGTGAAGATTTTATAAGAATTAAATATTTTGGGATACAGGTCATGAAGTCAATTTTATGAACTGTGTCCCATGAAAGTTGACAAATTTTAGATTTGTGAAAATCTTCTTTTTCAAATAATCTTTGTTACAGTATTGTATTGTTTTATTTTATTTTGAGAGTTAGGAATTTTCACGTTGGGTATTTTTTGAGAATGCGCCAAATGTCGTAAACGATAATGTAGAGAAAACAAAAATTTCCAGAAATTATAATCTACAATTTCAAGCGTAATTACACTCGTAAAATGTTCTCACTAAACGAGTAATTCGATAGCAAACCGGCACATTCATTCACTTTAAGTTGAATCGTTTTTTCAGGGAGAATAAAAACGAAAAGATCTCAGACCCGAGATGATTAAAACTGGAGACCAAGATTCCTTTGCCATATGTGATATTTTTTGTCTATTTTTTATGATATCCTTTAGAAATCATCGCCATACAAGTGCGCATTCAAGCCTTAAAAAGGAGATATAAGTACATATAGAACGAAATTAAAATAATTAGTTCATAATATCAATAAGCCATAAATATATACATAGGTATATATAATTTATAGTTTTACACTCAGTTATTTATTATTTCTTTACAATGTTGAAAAGATCGAAGTCGTATATCAAGAATTAAAATTTTTGGATTAATCTTAAATGACGTTCCTATCAGATGCACTAAGTATTAATTTAATCCTCAAAATTAAATGATTATATCGCCTTCATCTGTTAAATGAAGTAAATATACGTATAATAGGTACGTAGAGAAGTTAAATAAAATTAAATAAAATTTTGTTTCTGCCGCAAGTCTTACCACAATTTCTTTGACTTACGGATGTGATTCATATGGTTATCATGGCTAATCAAATTGCTTTAATACAATAGAACTCTGTTTTGCGCTAATATTTTCAAAAATCTAAACGAATAATTGTATAATAAACATGACTGAATGTTCTATTTATATATTAAAGTTATCCTGTTTTACTAATTACTAATAATATTGATTAGTTTTTGGACATTTTTTATTTTATTGTCTCTCATGTGAATTTTATCGGATAAATTCATTATTTTAAATTACTACATAATAACTACTAAAACATTTTGAATAGCTTTGAGACGAATACGTTATTAAAAACAATTTATTATTTTAAGCACGATAGAAGGCAACGTCTGGTTCCATATGGTTTTTTTAAACGACATATGTCAATAGTAATACACAATGCCAATATCCATTTTCGAATATGGCTAAATTATACATATATACATACAAGCTGTGGAAATGGCGATCATTCATTAAAAACCAGTCATACATCCTTATATAAAACAGGTTTGCAAAACTTTATATATCACTGAAGTACTGAACGGCAGTATCAAAAATAATGTTCATCGGTATAGTAGGAATGCTTATATAA